CCTACGTATCCGATAATAACGTGACTAAACGTCGATTTCCATTGCCAGAACACTTTTGAATAAAAAATATTGTCGTCACGCTTATTGTGTTTGAAAAAAGAAAGATAACAAAATGTTTTCATACAAGCAAGCAGGCAGTGGACATATTTTAATAAAGCCCGTTATACACCATCATTTTTAATAAAACACTCGAATTCTACAGTAATATCCCATGTGTATAGCAGGCTTGAACTAACAAGTTTTTGTAAAAAATGTAAAGAAAACAAAAACAGAAAACCTTATTCATAAAAATCTTATTAAGGCAATAATATTGAGAGTCTGTTTTATGTAATTCTGTATGAGTTTCTTAAAAGCAAACCTACATTATGTACCGTGCGACGTGAAAATAACTCCAATAATAAAATATGAAATACTAAACTTCAAGGCAGGGCAAAGGAAAGGTCGAAGTTCAGCGTTCAGTACAATACCAAGAATCAGAAAGAAACAACGAATAAGATTCAAACAAAATAATAATAAAAAAAAACAAATACATAACGAGTTATTTTAACGGTTAAGAAGCTATTGTAAATAAATTTAATATTTCTTTCGCCTTTAAATTCACAATTATCAATGAATCCAGCCCATTATGGTTTTTATTATAAGAAACGAATACTAAAAAAAAAAAAACAATTCGTGATAGTATTTCAAAGGTGTCACCATTTTGATTCCAACACAAAACACCAAGGCAAATATCAAAAATGTTGCAAGATTAATTGCCGAATTACTTTCCAAACTTAAGTAATTTCAAAGAAGACAAAAAGTTCACAAACTTACGAAAATTACGTTTGAATTTTGAATAAATTCGTTAAAGCCCTTCATAATGTTTCACAATAGATGTGCTTTTAGAGTTTGCTTTACACTTTGATCTAAAAAACTTTAATTCAAGTGTTTTTTTTTTCAAATCAGTTAATTAGTTTTAGAGCATATTCAATGAAAAAAAGCTTTATTCTGTACAATACTAATGTAGATAAGATGTATTATATCTATACTATTATAATAAAGCGTAAACACACACTTCTTTGTTGCCTAAGATGTCAGCAATTATAGCATATTGTTGTATAGTTATTTTTTTAATAAAAAGCCATACACTTACGTCATGCTTTAGACTATATATTTTCACGCCATTAAACTTAGGGGGTAAATATTTTGGATATAAACCCTAATGTGGGAAAGAGACCATAAGTTGCTGCCAACATCAAGAAAGAAAGATTGCTAAGGTTTGTCATGTCATGTCATTTTGACATTTGCTATTGAGAATTTGACAAATGTAAACAATAAAATAAAGTTTTTATAATTTCACGCGGATGAATCCGCACGCGAACAGCTTGTAAGAAAATAAAGTACAAAGCATAAATAAAGGAATTACTAACTTTATAAATAATCTACAATTACAAGACATGCACACACAAGTAAGAAAATTTCACATAAACCACAAAATATTAACACCTACATAAAAGAAAAAACAAAGTATTAACAAAACATTTCAAAAGTCTTATTTGAGGTTTAATTAAACAATTTGAAAGTCCAGTCTTAAGATTAAAGCAACAAAACTTGCAGAGTTTGCAAGAACTTAACTCACAGACTTTTAATTAAGGAATTTTTCAGCTTGTAATGTTTGTGAAATTTATTATTTAATCAAATCCCTTTGTTATTTTACTTAAATATATTATCTCAATTAAGAATAAATAAAGAGCTATAAGTATTGTAGACTTGTAGGCTTTTCCTTAAGCCTTAATAATCTATTATTCCCACATAACAAGACCAACTAGATATCAAACACTGTCATGTCAAGAACGCATTTCAATTATTACCAAATTCTTGCGACATGGAAATACTGAACAAGGAAACGACAAAGGACATTCCTCAAATCTATATATCGATATCGATATTCCATTTTAGATCTAATTTTACGATGTTAATGTTCATTTTCCTTCGATGCTCGTCCAAAGTCAATCGACTTCTGCCATGTTGTGAAACTATTGGTTTAGTATTTAGATTCTTCTCCATTGTAGAATGTAATAATTAATTGTATTTATCAATGAGACATTTGTTAGATCATAAAAATGATCGGAACTTCCATTTTTAAGCGTCAAACAAAATTTTATTAAAAATGTCATTTGAAAATGAATATAAGACATTAACAGCGGGCGCACACCATTGTCTAAACAATTGCACAATTCAATGCATAAGAAAAATGTTACCACATCATAAAAAAGACTCTAACAATTTCAGTAAGACCTAGACATACATTTTTAAATAAACGAGTTCTATATGGATTCGAGTATAACCGCAGGTTCGTCTAGGGGACATCACTAGCTGTTGTGACCCAATTCATGGCGGGTAATTGCAGATTTATAAGTCATCAAGGCGGGCGAGTCCGACCTTAATAGAATTAAAATCTAAACGCAATTAGGTCAGTTCCCTGAATTATTTATTTGTTCAATCTTAATTGCTTACGTGTTAAAAAAACTTGATAACCGAATGTCATTACTCTGTTCACACAATTTATTTAGCACACAAATGTTTTGATGAAATTTTTCCTGTTGTCTTTATACCAAATCTCAAATTCTCTTTCTCAATATTGTCTTATCACTCCCGTTACATCAGAAAAGTATAGTAAAATCTTTGTGTTTAACAAAATACCAATCAACGCCGCTCAAAGAATTAAAACGCCGGTTTAACTAAACAGTGTCTAACTACCATAGATTGTTTGGTGTTTATTATAACCATTTTCATAATAAAACCGTATATTCCGTATTCATAGTAAAAGCTTTAAAGTAGCTAGAGTCGATTTTATATCGAAAAACAAATGACTTCTAACAAAAAATCGATATTGATTAGGGATTGTACTATACTTACGTTAGCATCCACGCGTTACATTTGCGACGGGGAAACTCCCAAACATTTCGAGTGTGCGTGCGCCGACAGTTTTAGCTTTCAATAAGCCATCGACAATTTTATAGGCTAAGAGGCAGCCACGCTGAAATACCATGACGTGTTTTCGTGTAAGTAATGAAAATATCCAAGAAAACAAAAGTAAATGTTGAATTACATACTTGCGTATAGCTTTAAAAAAACTTTAAGGCGAAGAAATGTACAGAAATTGCCCCTTGTAATTATTAAAAATTTGTATTACACTTTTCCATTTTTATTTAATTTGCAAGCTCCCTAATATGTTATTCAATTTACTAGAATTTACTAGCAAGAGACTATATCCAATTATAAAGATCTTAGAAAAGCAGAAAAACTCAATTTGTAAGTCTTAACGTTATTTTCTTCGTGATAAGGTTTTCTTTTTAACGGTAGCTCCTAAACTATATTTACACACATTAGTTTTTTTTTTTACCACGCGTTAAAAAAGTGTGCAAATGGGACAAATGCATTTTCATACTGCAACGATTTTTAAACCTTGATTTTGTAAAACTTGATTTTTTTGTCGCGTAGTGATTTCAGCGTCGGTCGCTCGGGAGCCAACGCCGAGTTTTAACGCGGCGTTAAAAAAGCGTCAGTGCGATTTTCTAAGATAGATAATGTTTTGATGGCACATTTGCTGTCAAAAAAAAAACCGTTTCCTCAAACACCAATCAGACAGTTCGTAAACTTTGCATTTATTGTTTTTATGTTGTACGTTGAAAGAGATTTAGTATACGATGAGGAAAATCCGACGTTGAATCATCAGAATAACAACTAAAGCTTTCAGACGCGTCTAGAAATCTAGTACAAGTCGATTTAGTAGCTTGAGGATTATCCAATGAACTAACCGACCCTCTTGGAATTTTCCTTCCACTTTGTAGACGTAAAGTCAGTATTTCATATCATATGTAACTATAAATTAGTGTAGAATTTGTAAATTACAATTTTTTAATTCTAACGCCCGTTTTAGTGATCATTTAACTACGTTTAAGTACGACATCTTAAAAAGGATCTACCTTTAGAGTATAAAAATAATATAAACGAATAGTTCCAATAATTTTATTAGAAAGTGTAAAAGTACACACTTTTGAGTTAAATTAATGAATAAGGGTAAATACTTGAAAGAATTAAAAAAATCTTTTGATCAGAGGCTAAGAAAACTTTAAAGTTACTTTTTATTTTTGTTAATCTTAACAACCAAATTAATTTGATACATTGATAACCTACTTGCTAGTAATTAATTGGTGTCTCACAATGTTGAACATGTCCGATCACATTTGTATATGATAATGATTTAAGAACTGTTATCAGTACGGGCCGCGACCTCGCGCGCGATCGATACCTCATCAATTATGTCCAAGTGCGCTACTGTAGCCTCTATACAAGGTTACTGTACTCTTCTCTTAATTCTATATTGGCGCCAATGTTTGACCAAATATATTTGATCAAACATTTGTAATTTGACTTCCGGTATACCATAGAAAAATTGTCACAACATGACAGTTAACGGCACCATAAAAAAAGACATATAATGGCACACCAGTTTGCTATTTCTCATCGGGTCCGTTTAGTTAGTCGCACTCGCTTAATGTCTTATTATAATTTGATCCAGGATCTAAGACAAAATCCATTATCCAGAGCTCGGGATATCGATAATGTCGCGAGAATATCACGTAATCCGTTAATGGAAGGTTCTCGTCTTACTGTGATATTATCTTTTGTTAGTATTAAGACTAAACGTAGGAAAATAACTTCTTATTACTGAGTTTCCACTGGATAAAAACCAGTACTAAAACATACATGTTATTTACTCTTATTTAGACCACAGCTTGTTTAATTTGAACTCTTACGTTGTAGTTGAAAAGTTACGGTCTTTTCAAATTTAACGATTACATTTATTACGTAAATCTAATCTTAAAACCAAGAGATAATATGAAAAATTCCAATTTAATTTTTCGATTCCATTCTCAACTATGTTGCGTAACTTTCAAAAACAAATTTGTTTTTTTTTTAACAAAATGTTAACAATATTTTTTTTATAATTCCAGGACACGAGGACGCACGTTGTTGTCGAGCTGTATGAAACAGAGAAGTCATACGTGGAGGCGCTCGAGATATTAGTTAAGGTAATTTAATGTAATAATTTTGTTCATTGAAAACGAAACAAAAAAGCATTAAGATCAAAATTCATCCATTTATAATTGATATCTTCTGCTAAAGAAAATTAATAAATAAAACACGTATATTGCAAATTACTATGTTTTGTAATGAAAATAAAACTAGGAACTTTTGTAAGTCCTTGGCAAAGGCTGTCAAAGCGTGCATTTATGCTGGGTTGCTAAAGTATTAGGTTGACCTAAGTTTCAACAGAGTAAAACTCAAATTACGTAGTTTGGAAACGAATTTCATGATGTTATCAAAACCAAAAACACTAACGAACGGTTAAATGTAGCTGGAAAACTGGCCATTTACGAAGCCAAAGGATTATACTTGTATGAACCGGAGACCTAGTTTAAGTCCCTTTCTCTTTACCACTGTTTTCTTTTAAGGAGAGGATGGCAAGGGGAAGTGGATTTGACGGAGGAGGAGATGCATAGAAAGAGCAAATATCCTCTTTATGTGCGTCTCCTTGTCGGGTAAGGGTAGGCAACGCATCTTCAATTGCGGATGTCTATGGGCAGCGGTCGCTTCGCCATTTTGGCGGATTCAGGTGGCAGCTTGCTCGTTTGCCATCTTATGTTATAAAAAAAAGTAAAACCCATATTTAACTTTTAATTTTAATTTACTAGAAGATTTTATTAATATTTCGAAACATTTGTGTATTTATGATACTAAATTAAAAGTTATTCGTAAATCAATATAAATGAGAAAGGAATTGTCGTTATAATATTGTCTTTTAATTGTAAATTCGACTCTAAACGTCAACGTATGAATCAGGTATATTTAGGTAACATTTATTTAAACTACACGACAACTTTAGTAGTTACGGGAAGCTTTTATTGTTGCCAAACTGCAAACGAGGACATATACTAATAAAGTATATATGTTTACGGAAACCGCACTCATAAGAGTTATTTAATTACCACTAGTTTAGCGATGTATATATATAATATATACGATAATATAATATTGTTCGATAGTAGTTTAAGTACCATTGTATTCGACCTAGAGTATAAAATCGATATTAAATTTAGCCTATGTGTTCCAAACTATCTTCTACATTTATACCAAATTTTATCGAAATCCGTCCAGCCGTTTAGGATACAAACTCTAACAAACATCCATCCATCTAAAATATCTCATTTAAAATATAAGATAGTATGAATGATTGTAACTGATTTATTATGAATTCGATTGTTGCAATTATTTTGTACAAACAGAATTGGAAATATAAATTAGACTTGAGTTACTGGCTAAAAATATAATCTTAAATTTATCTTCAATTCACGATGAAAGCATTCTATGCAAAACGACTAACGATTTCTGTTAATCAATTTTGATTCAAAGAGCTTTAGTAATAAGGTTTAATATGCAACGAATTTAACCGACTACTTTCCCTGCGCTTGATTCACATCCGTAAATTGCAAGGGCACAGTAAAATTATAATAAGTCAGTCTTTCCGTCCATCCGCTCCGAATTAACTGGCGAATGACAAATTCATTATATTTATGAGGCTGATGAAATACCAGGGCTGTCTCCGGATTTATGGCGTTTTCCTCGTTCGATTAATCTGTCGTTGCGTAAATTGAATGTCGAAGCCGGCGCTTTGTCAACTAAACAATTTGTATTGAAAGTATAAATTAACATGTAGATAACGGTCTGGTTTTTCATTTTAAAATTTCAACAATAAAGAGAAAACTAAAAAAGTTTCCAAAATTATGCAAGCTACTATAAAATTCTATTATTCCCAATTCAATACAGAGTATATTTGGAATTGTCTCGCTTGAGAATTTAAAAATGTGAAATCCGCCATATGGTTTGGACACTCTAATTAAATTTGTTAACCTGTGAAGCACTACGAAGCGAATTATTTTTTCATTGGCTTGAAGTATAGATTAAATTACATTATAATATAACAATCTTACTAATATTATAAATGCGAAAGTATGTATGGATGTTAGATTTTGTGGCCTAAACTGACGAATGGACCTCGATGAGATTTGTCATAGATGTAGAGAATAGTTTGGAAGAACACATACTTTCTTTTGTTTTTTTTAATCAAGCGGACGGAGTCGTGGGAAAAACTAGTAATGTATAATGTTGAAGGAATATCCTTTTAAAATATGGGCGTAAAGATCTGCAATTTATTTCATAAAATATTAAAGTTTAGAGGTCATGTGTTACTCAATTTTCGCAATGCCAATCTCGTCGGTGGGGTGGAAATTTTCCACCCCCTGTACAGGAGGGTGACACCCTTTACACCTCGTCTCACACCCTCATCGTATGTACGACGGACTCGGAAAATATGCTTACGTTTTCTATTTTCAACACTCGAAAACTTTTTTTGTTGTTTTCGTTACACGCAGTTTTGCAGATGTTTAAATTCTTTGATCTTGTACGTTCCCCTTAAGCAATTAAAATTTTTCAACAAAGAGAATCCCATTTCGTTATTTCGAGTATTCTTCGTAAAAAAAATTATAATAAAAAAACACTATGTGCAGCAAAAAAATATTATTTTTAGTAAATATATTATCAATTATTTATTTACATTTTTTTATCGCCTACTTTGTAACAAGCCGCCATAACAATAGACTTAAGAATCAAAAATATCAAATTTCATCAATATCATGCATGCAATGCATGAAATTTGCATGCATGCATGCATTTTATGCATTATCTTCTATGAATTCTGTAGTTCAAATTACTACCGGTTAGTATTTACCGAATCCATTTTAAAAGTGAGTCTTAAATCCAATGCGGCTATACTGCAGACGTGCGTCAGTTTTTTGTCTCTTTTAAAACAGCAGTAAGCCTGTTCACACACATCAAAATGCACGCCGTTATGTACCTTCATAACGAATTTATAGCGAGTAGAACGCCCTTAATTCTCTTTTTAAACATACTCGACGAATGTGCATTTTGAATATTTTATCAGCGTGGCGGCAGTTCGTTCTACGAAGTCATTTTTAGTGTGTTACCACTGAAAGTTTGAGTAAATATTCCTTTAATATTACACTGGAGGCGTGTTAGAGCACAAGCATTAACAAAATTTGTGTTAGATTTGTGCAGCGCCCTTACCGGGCGTAAATACATCAAGAAATATTCTTGTTAGATCCTCGAATTTCACATGACAAAATTAAAAGTTCCAGATGAGTTTGAATCCTAATGCCACAGGGGGATTATTTACTTAGTGAATTCGCAAATTTAATCTATATCCATTTAGCTGTATATCTGATCTTAGGCATAACCTTAGTAATTAAGCGACTCTGTAAACGACAGTAATAACTACGTGTCTAAGAGCGGGAGCACACGTTTGACTAAACTATCGCACAACTGTTATTCGATTGTCGATTGTTTCGCAGCCCATTCAATAGTTTTGTTGCACAAATAAAAATCGAGTAGTATCCATACGTCCATATAAGCTCATAGAAATCAAAGCGCGACTAAACAGTTGTCCGATAGTCTAGTCAAAGGTGTGCGCGTGCTCTAATAGAGTAATTTAACACTTTATATCGTCGGAGAAGCGTTAAAACGTTTTAAAGGCGCTTATAAATTTCACAGCTGATTTGTCATAAACTAGGTTTTATCGTTACGGAGTTACGGCGCGATGCGTGTCGGAATCCGAGGTATTGAGGCTTAATACGCGACATTATAAGTAAAGCTACAAGCCATGTATACAGAACTTTATTTTTTTTTGATCGATGTTTTATTGCGACATTTAGCTAAAAATGACAAGAATTATGATGTTTTTAGTTGCATTTTTAACTTAGTTATGGTACAAAAAAACAAAGAATTAAGGTTGCTTAAGGTTATAGACAAATGCCTGTCCCACCAAACTGTAAGTTGTCTGATGACAATCTAACGTCCAAATATGTGTGGGAAATATCGGATTTTGTTTCTTTATCTGACAGTGACGTCATTTTTAAGCTATACGAGTATGAGCCTCTATCAGGTAGTGGTGGGACACGCCCTAATTGTTCATTAAAACTTCAATCAAAAACAAAAGAATGACATAGAAGGGATATTAACATTGAAATTGAATTATTCTCTTACCGTTAAGAGTGTATTATCTATGTTTTTACTTCTTTCAGAAATATCTTCATCCACTAAAGAGTCCGGAGAATGCTGGTCTTCTGGACGCGTTTGTCGTCGACGAGATATTCTACCAGGTGCCGGCGATATTGAACGTTCACCAAGTGTTCCTTGAACAGCTGAGACGAAGACTTGAACAATGGGACCTGCAGCAGAAAGTCGGGGATGTCTTCTTAGAAGTGGTAAGAAATTTATTAAGTATGTCGTTTTTTGTCACATTTTGACTTGACTTATTGGCCTTTAATTATACAGCACTAGCTTCCGCCCGAGACTCCGTCCACGTGTAATTAAAATTGCCTATGTGATATTTCAAACTATCCTCTACATATATGCCAAATTTCATCAAGATCTGTTCAGCAGTTTAGGCTACAAACCCTAACAAGCATCCATCCATCCATCTAAACTTTCGAATTCATATTATTAGTATGATTTTGAAGCAATTCTCTCTGGATTTCCAGTTTACAAAACCAACAGTGATGGACACTTACATGTCGTTCATCAACAACTTGAAGAAGGCAAAGGAGACGATAAAGACGGCGGCTGCGTCTCGGCCCGCGTTCGCCAAGTTCCTGGACGCGATGGCGCGGGATCACAAGGGCAAGCTCTCGCTGGACAACCTCCTCATCAAGCCTGTGCAGAAGTTCCCTAGCTACAAACTCTTGATACAGAGGCTGATCAAACACACAGGTAAACATTGTTTTTGAAATCAGCTCATGAAATGGTATGAAAATGTTGGTAATATTTTTGCGGTAATATCATCAGTAGCCAAGGTACTTAATAGAATTAGAAGAGAGATAACTTATATATAATGACGTGATGATTGTGTTTTTTTTTATTTGGCTTTTAAAATATAATACATGTCTTTCAACATGTCGACGATTTTTTTACATTCTATTATTTAGATACACGCTTTGTTTACAAGTTGTCTATACTATTATAATAAAGCGTAAACACACACTTCTTTGTTGCCTAAGATGTCAGCAATTACCACATATTTTTGAATAATTCTTTTTTTAATAAAAAGCCCTACACTTACGTCACGCTTTAGGCTATATATTTTCACGCCATTAAACTTAGAGGATAAATATTTTTAGGATAAAAACCCTAATGTGGGAATGAGACCATAAGTTGCTGCCAACATCAAGGAAGCAAGGTTGTCAATGTCATGTCATTTTGACATTTGTAATTGATAATTTGACAAATGAAATTGAAATATTTTTTTTTTATAATTCCATGCGGATGAAGTCGCACGGGAAGAGCTAGTTAGATATAAAGACCTTCTAAATAACTCTTAAAATTCGACTTAAATTAAAAATACTATTATTTGACATTAATATTTCCTTTACATAATTTACAGATCAATCGCATCCCGATCACAAACTTCTGCTAGAAGCACAGAAAGAGATCCATGAACTTTTAGAGCTGATAAACTGCACGGAGAGAGAGAGTCTAGAAATGGAGCAGCAACAGCAAACGATGCGGGAGTTGGAGCAAATGATCGAGGGGCTATCGAGCCTGGTGACCGCAGACAGGACGTTCATTAAGCACGAAATGGTCACTATGCCGTCCGCACAGGGGACCATTAAAGATAGAGCTCTCTTCCTTTTCAACGACACACTACTTATAACCAGTGTTAAGAGGCGAACTGGGACTATTAAGAAACCTATTCCGTAAGTATAATATACAAGATGATCATTTTGAATTACTAAATCGAAGTGCTAGAGCCCTCTTTAACATCTTCGCACTGTATGGCCGGCTCGCCCGGTGTTATACCACGACCACACAGAAAACAGGCGTGAAGTGGGAGTAATTCCGCGTTTCGTCTGAGTGTGGTGCCTGAGGCTTAACTTTGGTCCTCTTTCCTTCCCACCCTTTTTCTTATGAAAAAGGATAGGAAAATGGATTTGACGGCGGAGGAGACGCATAGGAAGGGAAAATATCCTCTTTATGTGCGCCTCCGTCGATTAAGGGTAGGCAACGCATCTGCAATTGCGGATGTCTATGGGCAGCGGTCGCCTCTCCATTATGGCGGATTTAGGTGGTCGCTTGCTCGTTTGCCATCTTATGTTATAAAAAAAAGTAAAATTCTCTGTACACAACTGATATTTAACATTTAATTTCAGAACATACCAAAGTAGTATTGCGAGCCAAATGGAAGGGAATAAGTACAAACTTCTAATGAGGATATCTTTGGCTGATCTTGAAATTGTTAAAGGTAACTTTTATGTCACGTTCAACGTAGTTATTACGCAATCCATTAATCTATACTATTATAATAAAGCGTAAACACACACTTCTTTGTTGTCTAAGATGTCAGCAACTACAGCATATTTGTGAATAATTCTTTTCTTAATAAAAAGCCGGACACTTACATCATGCTTTAGGCTATATATTTTCACGCCATTAAACTTAGGGGGTAATTTTTTTGGATAACAACACTAATGTGAGAAAGAGACCATAAGTTGCTGCCAACATCAAGGAAGCAAAATTGCTAAGTTTTGTCATGCCATGTTACTTTGACATTTGCTATCAATATGTTAATAAAATTTTCATAATTTCATGCGGATGAATCCGAACGCGAACAGCTAGTATTACAATACACATGATTCCATTTAATTTATCAATCTGAATGGGTATTTAATATTTAATATGTAAATATATCTCTATTTTACTAAGCAACCAGAGGAATACGACGTTCCCCTGATGGTAAGTGTTCGAAATAAAATAAAAAAAAACTGTTAAGTTGGTTGCAATCGCATTTAGAGCGGTCGCACACTTTACTAAATTATCGCACAACTGTTCTGCGATTGTCGATTGTTTCGCAGCCAATTCAACTGTTTAGTTGCACAACTAAAAATCGAGTAGTGTGCGCACTATAAAAGCTTATAGGAACCAAAGCGCGACCAACAGCTGTGCGATACTTTAGTTTCGAGTGCAAGCAACTAAGCGTTTCGTCTGATGAGTGTGTTGCCGGAGGTTCAATTTTAGTCCCTATCTACCCTTTTCTTATAAGGAAAGGATGGGATGAAAAGTAGATTTGATGGTGTAGGAGCCGCATAACGGAGAAATATCCTATTTATGTGCGTCTTCTTTACCGTCGATCAATCGATAGGTAACACACCTGCAATACGGATGTCTGGTCATCGGTCGCTTCGCCATCTTAGCGGATTCAGGCCGCTAGCGCATATACATATTTGACGATTAATTTATTTCTAGCCAAAGATGAGAACGTGCGTCGCATAATGCAAGAAGTGGCATCTCTGACAGAGGACGTGAGCACGTTGACGCAGATCTCGCGGCAGGTGGCCGCGCTGCACGCGCCGCACGCGCAGCTCGCGGACCTCGTGCGGGACGCGCTGCTCGCCGCCAACCGCCAGCTCAGCGACCGCCAGGCCAGCGACACCCAACTCTGCTATATGGAACTCAGCGTTAATACTCCGTTAGTTATTTACTTATTAAAATTCCTGACACATTATACCTTACTTCTAACTTCTAACTAATATTATAAATGTGAAAGTTTAGATGGATGGATGGATGGATGTTTGTTAGCGTTTGTAGCCTAAACGGCTGATCGGATCTCCATGAAATTTGGCACAGGTTTAGAGCATAGTCTGGAAGAACACATAGGCTTTTATCCCGGGATAAGTTACGGTTCCCGTGGGATTCATTAGTTTAGTTTTTTAATGTTTACTCGATCATTCTGCAACGGTTCAACATATCTTATTGAAATTTGGCACAGATGTAAAACAAAGTCTCATGGGATAAGCTTCAACCCCGAGAAATGTCCGGTTCCCGAGGGATACGTAGCTATTTGTAATTTATATAGCTCTAATGTTTTCTAATACCACGCGGACGAAGTCGCGGGCGAAAGCTAGTATATTATAAATGCGAAAGTTATGATGGATGGAAGTTTGTTAGAGTTTGTAGCTTAAACGGCTTAACGGATCTCGACGAAATTTAGTACAGACGTAAAAGGTAGTCTGGAAGAACATATAGGCCACTCAGTGTTTTTTTTAATTCCACGGGGACGGAGTCTCGGGCGAAAGTGAACTCATGTGAAAGCATTCGGTGTAGGCACCGACCAGTTCCGATTAATCCGTTATTATTAAAAAAACGAAGCTGAGTCTATTCGTTCTACGATCTGTTAGGACCCGGTGAAACTGTAAATGCCTCTTCCACACAATTAATGGGTTTGGAAAAGAATAGATTAACAATAATGTTAAATAAAAAATTTCGGCTTTAGTAAATCTTAAAAATAAAATCGGACTTATGATAATTCTAGTGTTAATAATCCTTTTGATTTTATTTCAGAAATGGACCCGAAAACTTAACTATAATCTTTCCCAAAACGGAGAAGCGCAGCAGTTGGGAGGAATTGATAAACGAGACAAAACAAAAGTTATGTAAGTATTTAATTTATCATTATTACAAAGAATTACTCCTAAAAATTTAAAATACATTTACTACTTGTGATGAATCAGTTAATGATAAGAGACTTGAAATCTTACTAACATTAAAAATGCGAAAGAAAGGATGGATGTTTGTTAGAGTGTAGCCTAAACGGCTGAACGGATTTAAATAAAATTTGACATAGATGTAGTCGATAGTTTGAAAAAAACAGAGCCTACTTTGTTTTTAATTCCACGCTAACAGTCTTGGACGAATATTTAAATAATTTAAATATACAATAAAATCGTCACTTTAATTACAGGTGTGTACGGGCATGAAAGGCCCGCTCCTGAATTCCTCTCGCCTGTTCCTATACGCAAGACGCGAGCTGGCTTGCAGTTCACGTGCGCTGCGCCCACTTTACCACCCAAAGGACAAGCCCCGGATGTTTGGGTAACTTTTACTGCATAACTACATCACTAATAACCAGTTTCCCAGCTACAATCTGTTAGTTTTTAGAGCAAGCGGCCACTAGAATCCGCCAAAATGGCGAAGCGACCGCTGCCCATAGACACCCGTAATTGCAGATGTGCTGCCTACCCTTATATCCTATGCATCTCCTCCACCGTCTAATTCACTTCCTCTTCCCAACCTCTCCTTATAAGAAAAGGGTGGTAAAGAGAAAGGGACTTAAATTAGGCCTCCCGCACCACACTCATCGGACAAAACACGGAATTGCTTCCATTTGACGCCTGTCTTCTGTGTGATCGTGGTATTACACCGAGCGTGCCGGCTCATTTGTGCTAAGATGTTAAAGCGGGCACTACCACTGTAGTGTTTTTGGTTCGGTTACTTCGTGAAAGTTTCCGAACTATAACAATTTTACTTGGTTGAAACAGGTCAGCCTAACACTAATGAATAGGTATCAATAAAATTAATAGAAGCTTCAGAAACCTAGCATAAACAATACACATTAACTACAGAATATAGTTCTTTAAAAACACGTCAAAGAGCGCGCACACTTTTGACTAAATCATCGCACAACTGTTTAGTTTCGTTTTAATTCTTATCAACTCGATTTTGTTATAAACAGTTGAATTGGCAGCAAAACAATTGACAATCGCACAACAGCTATGCGGTTTAGTTAATTTTGCGCCCACTCTTAATGAAGTTGAACCCAAAGTACGATAATATAGGTGGCGCTAGTGTTGACGATACTAACGCCATCTGTTTTTCTAATTGGATTCGAGCTAGTCTTTCTACTATTTTACATATGACTCCCAGGCCAGTTACAGTGCGCCGTGTTCCCGGTCCTTTTAAACATAGTTCAAGTTTGCTAGCTAACTTCGGTCTCTCGGAAATAAGGTTCACCATTGTCCACGTCATGAAGGATATCATCATCATCCTCTGTTTAGTGTTCCTAATGTGTTTAACAGTGGTAGAGCCCGCTTTAACATAATCACACGAATGGGCCGGCTCGCCCGGTGTAATACCACGACCATACAGAAAACAGGCGTGAAGTGGACGCAATTCCGCGTTTCGTCTGATGAGTGTGGTGCCGGAGACCTAATTTTAGTCCCTTTCACTTTCCACCCTTTTCTTAAGAGGCAAGGATGGGAAGAAAAAGTGGATTTGACGCTGGAGGAGAGGCGTAGTAAGGGGAAATGTCCTCTTTATGTGCGTCTCCTCCACCGTCAAGTAAAGGTAGGGAACGTATCTGCAATTGCGGATGTTTATAGGCAGCGGTCGCTTTCCATTTCGGTGGATTTGGGTGGCCGCTTGCTCGTGTGCTACCTTATATTATAAAAAAAAATGTAATGAATCTGTAGGTTTGCAACAGCGACGGGTACGTAGGACAGGTGTGCGTGCTGACGCTGTCCCCCAAGCCGCAGGTGACGTCATGCAATGGCGTGTGCAACGCACGCATTCTGTGCGTGGCGTGCGTGCCGCCCGCGCCCGCTCTCGCCAGGCAACACACGCTAGATATACCGTAAGTAGTTTTGTACCTTGGATTATTTATAACATTACTAGCTTTCACCCGCGAGTCCGTCCGCGTGGTTTAAGAAAAAAAAAAACAAAAGTAGGCAGCCGATGTGTTCTTCCAGACTATGCTCTACATCTATGCCAAATTTCATCGAGATCCGTTCACCCGTTTAGCTACATACTCTAAAAAACATCTATCCATCCATCCAAATTAGTAATATTATAAAGAGGAAAGATTTGTATTTTTGTATGTATTGAACTTGAATTGTAACTCAAAAACTACTGGGCCGATTTTAAAAATTCTTTCACCATTAAGAAGCTACATTATCAGTGTAACATAGGTTATATTTTTTAATTATTATTTCTTATTTCACGGGGATGAATAATCTATAAACTGTCAGTTAACTGCAACCCATATAGATCATTACTTTTCATTCATACGCGGTTAACACTCGGCCAGTACAGTTGGTCAATAACTGGACTGTCAAGTGTGCTGGTACAGTGTGCATGATAACTGCTTTTTTACTGTCTATAGTATATTTCATTTGGTTGTATATTTGAAACATGCAATTTGTGTATCTTTCCAATAAATAAATTCCATTATTGCATTATATTTAACAGACGTAGTCCAGCACTAGATTAGGTCGCTGGACTGGATTAATACAAACTGGTATATATTGCCGCAATCATTATTAATATTCAATAACTACATAGTCAAACTTGTTCCAGGAGTACCAGTTCTTTGAATAGTACTGGATCTACTGGGAAGCCGGGTATCAGCATATCAGATCCTGATGACAGCTGCAAGAATATTCGCCTTGATAGGTATGCAAGTATAATAAATTATGTACAGTCGGAAACTAGCGGTGCTCCACCTTCAAAGTTACAATAGTTTTAACATTTGAAATGAGACGCGGAATATAAATACAATGCAGCTTATAAATGTATCTGTAGGAAAAAATTGGTTTGTTTGTAACATCAAAAGAAAAATTCGAGATTTCTGAAAGAATTTGTGATGCTGATAAAGAAAATCGCGTTTAAAAAAAAGTTTGTCTGTCTGTCTGTCTGCAAGCCGCGTTTGTTCCTTAATCTCCGAAACGGCTGGGCCGATTTCGACCGCACTTTCACTGAAGGGTAGCTGACATTAACAAGCATATAGGGTACTTTTTATCTTAATATCGCGTGGACGAAGTCGCGGGCAACAGCTAGTAAAAATCAAACGTTTCTATTATCATTTACTTTTTTAATCATAATATTTTTTTTATTCACAGTTCATCTTCAAGTGATGACGATGACGAGGGTTCATCTAGCGAGAACCCTGAGGGTGAGCGCGGGGAGCGGCCGGCCCCCGTGCACTGCAAGAGCCTGAGCTCGCCGCACACGGGGCAGGCGGCGCCGGGGGGACAAGCACACATGCAGGTGCACCCTGTCATCAAGTCCAGCTCAAACCCTGCGGTTGATAAGCAAGCTATGGGCATCACCAGCGGTGAGTTTTCATACAATTATGAAGTAGGGACCTTCAAAAAGCACTTTAATAGATCGTCGACCAAATCATTTAAATGCGTGATTTTTCCCTTTACTCTCCTCATTGTGATATTAGTATAAATGAAATGTATACAGGATGTCCAGAAATCATATAGAATAAAATGTTGTTAAACATTTCTCTTTCATGTTTAAATATATTACAGCACAAAGTAATTAACGGGCATCCTGTATAAAGACATCCTTATTATAAAACGATTTTTTTTATTCAAAGCGAAAGAAACTTAATATTTTAATTAATCTCCATATATTTTAGTCAATGTAATTCCTTCGTAACATGATCTACCTTTACGTATGTATGTCCTTTTCTATCTCACTTATTAACCAATATGTTTTACCCTTTCTAACACAAGTACCCGGACGTATTATGGCTGGTAGGAAAATTTTACATTCTCTTCGTTGCATGCCTTGCTTTTTTTAATTAACACATTGCTTTTTATTTAGTAGAATGTATCTGCTTAAAATAATTTATGTGTGTAATTTTGGCTTCTTAAAATATATCTTTTAATCGCGACTTTGTCTGCGATAAGAAAAAGTAGTAATAAATATAATTTGTTATAATATAGCTTTCTAGTCGAAAAAAAAATTAAAATCGGTTTTTGAGCTTATTCATTACATACATATCTTTTCACTAAATGTATTTATTTTCATAAATGTAAATGAAACCTATGTAATATAAATTAAAAGGGAGAACCAACCATTATAAGACACTTACTAAAATAATAAATCTTAATAAAAAAATATCAAAGAACAAAATCTTATGGCCTTCCATGTAATTACAGGCACATTATCATCGCCTACAAGCCGCCAGTCTTCAGAGGATAGCAGCACATCCGGCAACCAGCCCACCATGTGGCTGGGGACAGAAGACGGCTGCATCCACGTCTACAACTGCCTCGACAACATCCGCATCAAGAAGAACAAGATCAAATTGCAACACAACTCGGGCGTGCATTCCATTGTGTGAGTTTTTTTTTAAGATTTTTAAAATCAACTCCTGCCCATACTATACTTAAGTAGTAGTCGAAGGATGTTACACGCTAATTTTAGAAGTATCTATTCATCCTTTTCTTGAAAGCACCGTTATAATTGGTTGGGAACACTGACGCCGGCAGCTTATTCCATTCTTTTGCGTGTGAGAAAAGACGTCTCAAATCGCTTCGTACGAATCCGTGGCACGTCAACTGTATTCCAACTACAACTTCAAACAACACTCAATAGATTTCATCATCTTATTCAACTTCCGTAATGACGCAATGGTTTTTGTCAATAATTTTATCATCTCAGCCATCACTCCCTTCTGTCATCTTTCACGCAATCCATCTCTTTAGGTCTACTACAGGTGTACGACACCTCTAACTAACGCCCTTGTTACATATGATTCATCCCTCGTAACATGCCCATACCATGCTAACTTTTTACTCCTTAAAAAGTCACTTTAAAAATGTTGTTATAAGCTCCGGTAGAGGATAGACCTAGGTAGACCTAGAAAGAGATGGATGACATGATCAAGAAGGGAGTGAAAACTGAGATGACGGATAGAGTTATTTGGAGGACGAAAACCCGCTGTGTCGACCCTACGGGAGTAGGATAAGGATGAAGATTATATATTGCTAAGTCTAGTCTAGATTTTAAGCTGTATGTTGCGCAGCGAATTCCCATCTTCTATTTACACCTAACATGTTCTGGGTGAAGAAATTTGAAAAATATTACAATTACTATACAACTTTATATGCCATGTGGAATTATAGTGTAACAGTTAACTTAAAAATTAACAATTCCGCCATTTTGTATTAAAAACATAATGTAAAATGACATTTGTTATAGGTACATGGAGGGCAAGGTATTTGTTGCTCTTGGCAACGGCGATCTTGTGGTCTATTGTCGGGATATTGGTGAGTATGACCTAACTTATTACTCTAGATGACTTCTTATAGGCGTAGAATAGAAGGTATCCCATAAACGTAGATAACTAGTTAAAATAGGCCATAGATTACCGCAACATGATTGGCGCGAATTTTACGTCATATGGTATCAAATGATCAATATAGATTGTAGCCCACTAAGTTAAATGTCTACTAAATCTAGTAACTTGCCACCTAAAATCGCCAAAATACCGAAGCCAAGCCCATAGATAAACGCAATTACTAATACGTTGCCTGACTTATTCCCGGAGTAAAAGACGCACATAAAGATGCGTCCCTTCCACCTTTAAATCCATACCTTCCTTTATAAGAAAAGAGTGGAAAGGTAAAGTTGAAGTGAATAAATAGGCCGCCTTTCGCACTCAGACGAAACACAGATGTGTTGTTGTTAAAAGGTTTATGAGTTTTGTGGTTAGCGTGGTGAGTGTGGTGAGTGTGGTGAGTGTAGTGAGCGTGTGTTGTGCAGACGGGTCGTGGTGCGAGCGCGCGACGCTGGGCGTGGGCGCGGGCGGGCCGGTGAGCGGCATGCTGCTGTCCGCGGGCCGGCTGTGGTGCGCCACGCACTCGCATATCAAGATTATCAACCCACACTCCTTGCAGGTACACAAACGTCTATTATAATATAATACTATATTCTATTCTACATATTTTTAAGAGTATGCACAGTTGGGTAAACTGGCGGTGTTCCACTTCAAAAGCTACAATCGTTTGAACATTTAGAAACGACAACAAATGTTTCTGTACGAAAAAAAAGTCGGTTAGTTTCTTTTTGTTATCTCTTCGTTTGCATTCACTGCTATCTAATTAGTTATTTGTAGGAGGCGAACGTTGTCTCGTAGCAATCAATAAGGCAATTTTTCCTAAAGTGGATCCTTTAGGAAAAATTTTCGAGACTGTACATAAAATGAACTTAAAGTAATTTTCTTAGTACCATTAGACTTATGCCTGGTTTCACCAACCAGACCCTAAATTCTTTCTAAAATAAAATTATTAATGGCGACCCCTAAATACTTCTAAACGAACCCCTAAAAGGTGGTAGTTATGGTCATTATTTCTTTAGATGAGGAAGTTTATGATAGATAAGTTCTACGAGTAATAGGGACGGAAGATATTGAAGTTGTGTTAAAACAATTTATATTATAGTTTTCTCCAAAAAAAAAAACGTTTTATTAATTTTTAATATTTGTACGTTTTCAGGTTGACGAAACATTCCAAATAAGTTCAGAATCGAAGCCGATAAGCCACATGGCGGTGGCGGGCGGCTCCATCTGGCTGGCGCTGCACAACGCGGCCACGCTGCGCTGCTACCACGCCGCCACGCGCGACCACCTCGCAGAGATCAACATCACGCCGCAAGTCACCAAGATGTTACATGGTACTGATTATTTCCAACTGTCACCCTGCTCTGTCTCCACGTAGGGACAGATGAGAATAAATAGTTTAAGCTGTCTCACCGTTGCGTCGAGGGGACGGTTGAACTTATTTTATTTTATAACTGCCCCACCTTTCACCTTGTGTGTGATAGTGGGACTAAAAAGTGGGACAGGTGGATTTTTTTAATCTCACGTGGGGACAGAGCGGGGTGTTCTTTACATATATACAGTCGTGGCAATTGGCGGTATTCCACAAGGAAAAAAAATGAACTAAAACTATTTTAGATATCAAAAGTAGCTTATTTGTTCTTTCTGACTATTCTCCACATTTATATCAAATTGTATTTAAATCCGATAAACAGTTTAGGCCAACTCTAACAAACATGCATCCATCTAAACATCCGCATTTGTGTTAGTAATAAGGAAGATTATCTATGTATGTAGTGATCTAGGTGTAGACCCATTCAGATGGACCTACCCATCTCTCCCAAAATATAATATAATAACCATAAACACTCGACACTGGCCCAATCCGGTAAGGTCTACATCAGCGGAATCTATTTCTTGTTTACGGCTCTAGCCATAGATACCCATTTTATCGAGAACATTTTTCCTAACAAAACATTTAAATTTATTCCAATTAATTTGTATAACATATTTTGTAATGACTTGCAAGGTTGCGACGAGATAATCCGGCAGCACAAGGCGGCGTGCCTGCGCGTGACGGCGCTGCTGGCGCACCGCGACACGCTGTGGGTGGGCACCAGCGCCGGCGTGCTGCTCTCCGCGCCGCTCCACAACTCGCCCAACAAGCGCACCGGCGCCTTCACTGTGCCGCACCTCACCGGTACACACTAACACCTATTTACACAACATTTTGTACACACTCTTACTCATCGACTCCAATTGTCTTGCGGAGGAACGTTAATTTCCTCCATTCTTTGTACATCCCTACTGAGGGGCTCTCCTATGCCACCGATGCTCTAGTACAATACACACTACAACTTATTTGTACACACAAGAAACATTTACACATTTTGTACACACTCTTACTCATCGACTCCAATTGTCTTGCGGAGGAACGTTAGTTTCCTCCATTCTTTGTACATCCCTACTGAGGGGCTCTCTTATGCCACCGACGCTCTAGTACAATACACACAACAACTTATTTGTACACACAAGAAACATTTACACATTTTGTACACACTCTTACTGATCGACTCCACTGGCCTTGGAACGTGAGTTTCCTCCATTCTTTATACATCCCTACTGAAGGGCAATCCTATGCCACAGACGCTCTAGTACAATACACACTACAACTTATTTGTACACACAAGAAACATTTACACATTTTGTACACACTCTTACTGATCGACTCCACTGGCCTTAGAACGTTAGTTTCCTGCTTTCTTTGTACATCCCTGAGAGGCTCGGAGTCTACCTTAAGTGGTAACTAGGCTATAGTTACTTACGCTGTCCCACTGCGGATTGACTTCACATATCTTTGAATTATTCGCCTTAAGTTCCTTCTCAACTGTGCGGTTTTTGAAAAACTTTCTGCCTCGCGCAGCTGCCTTGTGGAATGATCTGTCTTTGATATTTCCAATGGAGTTAAGGTCCTTCTAGTAGTTCCTGTCGTATTGCTGATGTCCATTGATTTCGATAATCACGGTGTTCCCGCTGCTCTTTTGTCCCTTTCTCTTATAAAAACACTTACATAAACATTAATGCATATATTTAATGGTAAAATATGATAAATTAGTTACAGAGACAATTTCGAGGTTATAAAGTCAACTTTCCTTTCTAGGTATTACCTACGGCCACACTGGACACGTACGATTCCTCACCGTGGTCGAGAACCCGGCACCTCAGAAGCAACCAGCCAAGCCAACGCAGACGCTAAAAACTAAAGCATTAAGCCGACGCTCAGCTAATGCAGAGAAAATGCAAAAACAGGCCGAAAACACACAAAATAACAAAGAAACTTTAATCATTTCTGGAGGAGACGGTTACGAAGACTTCCGAAGTTCCACGATGTCCGAAGACGCGGGACGAGAGGACTCGACCAATCATTTGCTTCTTTGGCGAGTCTGAAACGAATCTACGGCCTACAGGGTTTCAAGCAAACGAAACGCGACCGTATGCGTATCGTATTAAAGTTTAAAATTGATGTTAGGTGTTTTGTGACGCTCGATATGTCCAAGAGCCTAATCGTTAATTACGGATAGATGGCGCATGAGATTATTATGTTAGGACATCAAATGTCACGCCGTTTCGTCGAAATTACGAATAATTAACACGCAGTATTATTAAAAAGGTTTCGGCTATGCTATATACCTTTAGAAATTTTAATTATAATAAAATTTTAGAGAAAATCTTTACTATAACTTATCCATATCATGAATATTTTGGATGTCCATATAACTGTTTTATTAGTGTCTGATGTCAGAATTAACTGAAGTTCTTTGGTTAATTTTGAGTTACAGACTTATTGTAAATGTACAGAATTTTACTATTAGATTTTAGAAAGAAATATAGATTTAATAACAATGTTAACGTGAATCGAATAGTTATATAGTTTTTTATTTGCAATTTAAGAAGAGCACGTGTACACGTTGATATAGTGGGTCGAAATATCCTTGTAATTGCTATTTCACTTTTATCAGAGAGAATGAGTGAGATAGAAAAGGAGTCGGCAGAAAAATTTAAATTTAGAATCTGTTTTACGCTTCTATGACACTATTATTAAGTTTTACCATTTCTTTGAGGCTTATCTAATTGACCGCTTGTACTGTATTCAAATAGATACGTTTATAAAATGCATTAATAGTGCAATTTTAATCATAAATATAGTAAAAATAGATGGAAATTTCCAGTACGATTTTACCAATATCTCTATGTCTACATTATAAAGATCTTTGTGTTGTGAAGATAGTAAAGAATAATATAAATTAATTGCTCAAAATGTTCTCTTCAAATGTTACCTACAGGAGCAACTGATTGTTAAACGCTTGGAAAACGTAGGTATCCTGTACTTATTGCAAAATGATTAAATGATGTCGCACTAAACAATTCTTTTATTTAAAACGCAATAAATAATAACGAGCGTTGTGGCTCAGTTTTTTTTTTTTTATTAACATCTACAGACTCGTGGTCCGTACTCTTTTTGGCTCAGTTTATATCTTTTTTTTTTCTTTTTTTTGGTTGCGTATTCCTCATTACATTAATGAATTCTTTTTTTTATTATGTATAGGTTTTTTCTTTTTTTTACCATTACTTTTACTAATATTTTAAGTAATCTATACTATTATAATAAAGCGTAAACACACACTTCTTTGTCGCCTAAGATTTCAGAAATTACAGCATATTTTTGAATAATCCTTTTTTTTTTAAAAAAAACCCTACACGTCACGCTTTAGGCTATATATTTTAACACCATTAAACTAAGAGGGTAAATATTTTGGATAAAAACATTAATGTGGGAAAGAGACCATAAGTTGCTGCCAACATCAAGGAAGCAAGGTTGTCGTCATGTCATTTTGACGTTTGTAATTGACACATGTAAACAATAAAATAAAATTTTCATCATTTCATGCGGATGAAGTCGCACGGGAATAGCTAGTATTAAATACAGTAACACTACTATTAAACAATATTTTGACTTGACTTGACTTGTAATCTACAGATCTAGGGTTCGGATCCCACAGTACCAATGTGATTTTCGAATTTCATATGTACATAATTTACTCGACGTTCTTACGGTGAAGGAAAACATCGCGATGCCTGCACATATCGGGCAAGAAATTCAAAGATAAATGTGAAATCAACCCGCACTTGTAGAGCGCGGTTGACTATGGCCTAGTCACCCCTAACTAAGGGTAGGATCTAAACCCCTCAGTGGGGACGTAAAGTAAGCTGGTGATAGATTGATGGATGGAAATAGTTACGAAGGTTTTTACAAAGCTCCTGGAGGTAACACGAAAATTTGTGAGAAATTACTCGTAGTATGTCGGTAATAATTGCATTAAATTTTTGTAGGTTACCCCTAATTTGTTTAAACACAATCTCATACAAATTTTGTCGATGACATTAATACTTCTAACAATTTTTATATGCTAGCTCCAATTCATAGTATATTGTCATCCCCCTTGAAAATAGAGATTGATGCAAATTTGATAATTTCTTTTATACACAAGATTATATTTTCCAGTGTAAAAAGGTTAAGGGATGTTGAATTTCAATAAAACACGGTTATATGCGACAAAATTTAATTCATAATTATACTACTTATAAATAACTAAAGGTATTGCAGCCATTAGCCGAAATACTCTCTATCGTTAGACTATAGACTTCTGTACGTAGCTCCTATATTATAGCGTAGTGTTTAATCATATTTAAAGAATTTAGTAACGTGAAACGCATTTAGACGCCATTTGGTTAATAAGATCTAAAGTTCCATTGTCTGCACTGATATCTTTCTTCCCTCTACTAACAAAATAAGGATCATCTTGTAATTGTGCTGCTAATTTCTTCAATATAGTTCTCCTATCTCTATCACTCTCATTAACATCTCTTTTCACTTTATTCTTATCTCTTTTTGACAATAGATCAATGGTTGAACAAATTAATTCTGATGCTTTATCGAAATCATTTTTTGAGACCTTCGAGTTTCCAATTTTAACACCTTCAGGACTTTTTTTACCTCGAGCGATGTAATAAGGATCGTTCTTGACAGATTTAACAAGTTCTTCTATCGCACCTCGCCTTCCTCTAGGTGATTCAAATTTAGAAAACTTTTTGCCTCTTGTGATAAAGAATGGATCCTCTTCAGCCGAAGAACGGCTACTTCTCTCAACTAAAATATAACGCGGTTGCTCTGCATAAATTCTATCATCGAGAATCGTTTCTGGTTCCGTTGGTTTGAAATGTAATCCAAAATCAGACGTATCAGAGTTTACTTTGCGTCGTAATTTATTTCCTTTAATCCCTGTTAATAATTGTAATAGTTTCCTTTCTTTACCTTGGTTAGAATAATCTATGACGTCATCACTTCTACGTAACCTTGTGCTTGCCATATTATTTTCAAAACTGTTCATCGTTCTTAAAATGTTATCTCTTAATTGTGCTTTAGATAGTCCTCCTTGCATGTTTATGTTACTGGACCGATTTTTTCTTTTACCACGACTACCCCAAAACGGTTCAATAGCATCTCTTCGACCTCTGTTACCCCAAAACGGCTCAACATCATCAATAAAAACACCGTTGGCTGTAAGTTTTCCAGCTTTTCGTCGTATTCGTTTACCCCAAAAAGGTTCAAGTTCATCCTGTTTCCTTATTCCATTTAAAATCTTCTCGTTGTCTTTTATTTCTTTCCTTCGTCCTCTATTTCCCCAAAATGGGTCATCTTCGTCGTCCTGCCTTCGTCCTCTATTTCCCCAAAATGGGTCGTCTTCATCGTCCTGTCTTCGTCCTCTATTTCCCCAAAATGGATCATCTTCATCGTCCTGCCTTCGTCCTCTATTTCCCCAAAATGGATCGTCTTCATCGTCTTGTCTCCGTCCTCTATTTCCCCAGAAGGGATCGTCTTCATCGTCCTGTCTCCGTCCCCTATTTCCCCAGAAGGGATCGTCTTCATCGTCCTGCCGCCGTCCCCTATTTCCCCAGAAGGGATCGTCTTCATCGTCCTGTCTCCGTCCCCTATTTCCCCAGAAGGGATCGTCTTCATCGTCCTGTCTCAGTCCTCTATTTCCCCAAAATGGGTCGTCTTCATCGTCCTGTCTTCGTCCTCTATTTCCCCAAAATGGATCATCTTCATCGTCCTGCCTTCGTCCTCTATTTCCCCAAAATGGGTCGTCTTCATCGTCCTGTCTTCGTCCTCTATTTCCCCGAAATGGATTAACAGGAATAATGTTATCAATTTCTTCAGAACTTCTTCTGCCACGATTGCCCCAAAAAGGTGATAAAATCTCTTTTATATCACCTGTGTTAGTCAATAAGCCTTTATAGCAGTTTTTACAGCTTTTCTGTGGATCTGCGTGTAATTCTTCGGAACTTTCCCTTCGTCCCCTCATTCCCCAAAAAGGTTGCTCCAAATCGGTATTTATTTGGTTTTCCTTTTTTAATTCGCTTTCTATAAATTTCGAGTTTAGAGGCAGAAGTATTTTTGCAGCTTCACTGCTCAATGATCGTTTCATTCGGTTTTCTTTTATTCTTTCCTTCATGTCATGTTTTTTATTTGCATTTCTTTTCAATAATGTACCATTTTTGTGACATGATACTTGATTTATTAAAAGTAACAGATATATAAACAAAAGCAACCACTTTATCATCATATTGGAATCTGAAAAAAAAAGACTATCAATATTACAACTGCATGTAAATTAAATTAAAACTTAAAAACAAATTATTTCTAAACCAACTTAACTATTTTTTAATAAATTAAATGAATTATTATCAAACTCACTTTGAATTAAAAAACAAAAAACAACTGAAACGAATTTTACTTACAGTTTCAATCCAATTTTCGATTTATATCATATCAAAATCATAGTCATCAAAGACCTTTCTTCGAATTCTTCAAAAGGAGTGAACAGTAGAACGCTTGCTCCCTTTCTGAATGCGGTTTGATTTTTCCACAGGTTTATATAGGAGCGCGCCAGCCCTATCCCCTAGGGCTGTCACAACGTATTTCACTTTTTACCCCTAACCAAGCTCTACCGGGACTGTGACTGTTATTAAATTAAAATATTGTTAGTTACGTATTGCTTGCGACTGTTATAAGGCGAAGTTTCCTGTCATTATTTCTTTTGTTACTATAATTTTTTTTTAAATGTATAGGCGAATCATCATCAACAGCTATCTGCACACTGATACGCAAAAAGGAATCTCGAATTAAAAAGAAAATACCTTGCCCTTTTTCCTTACCCTACAGGATTTGGTACCTTTAGCAGACCACTAATAATTATTACTTAATATCCAATCATCGCATTGAAATATAATTTCGTCAGTGTTGTTAGCAGCCCTGAATTATTTTAACAAAAAAAGGACCAACCAATGAATATATTAAAGTTATTTTCACTATATGTAAATCAATTGATATCGGCCTCGATTTCACTGAAGCAAATTACACTTATAAGTAAGAATTTTCAACGCATTCCGAAAATTGGCGACGGCTAAATTCCATAATTCAGATGAAGAAAATGTACACTAAGGAACTGCTTGTAACTATCAACTGTAAATTGCTTGTGGTAATAATTAGTACATTTTTATCCACTTTTTATTAAAGCTCTCGTTTCTAGTGACCGCATCTTAACAAAGGTACGTGCGCGGTCGCTTGACATTTGTGTCCAGTTGCTTTGATTACATTCGGCCACTAAGGATGAGGGGATGTGTGGCTAAAATGGGCAACCAGTACCTATTTTTAAAAAAAATTAAATATTTTTGTCCACATATGTGTGAGCAATAGAGTTAAAATTAAAACATGTGAAATGTTGTTCTCTTATTTCACTCTATTGTTCGTTTATGATTATTAGTTTGACAACTGGTATGTGAAGTACCATAGTGGTAGTGTCTGCTTTAACATCGTAGCACGAATGTGCCGGCACGTCCGGTGTAATACCACGACCACACAGAAGACAGGCGTGAAATGGAAGCAATCCGTGTTTCGTCTGATGAGTGTGGTGCCGGAGGCCTTTTTTTTTAGAGTGGGGAAATGCCTTTTTTTTTTTTTTTATAACATAAGGCGGCAAACGAGCAAGCGGCCACCTGAAACCGCCAAAATGGCGAAGCGACCGCTGCCCATAGACATCCGCAATTGCAGATGCGTTGCCTACCCGTATACGACGGAGGAGGAGACGCACATAAAGAGGATATTTCCCCTTCCTATGCATCTCCTCCACCGTCAAATCCACTTCCTCTTCCCAACCTCTCCTTATAAGAAAAGGGTGGTAAAGAGAAAGGGACTTAAGTTAGGCCTAGACGCATACTCAACTTTATAGGGGTAAAGATGAGTGATGTTGGGCTTGCACCAACTAAAAACCCCACGGTGGTCTCCCACAGCGCTAACGAGGGGCCACGGGATCTCCATTTGGAACGCGACCGTGACCCCCCAACGCTTTG